GACGGATGCCTCAGATTTAGGTATTGGAGCGGTGCTCCTTTAAAAGGATCACCCAATTTCTTATTTTAGTAAGAAATTATCTCTTCGGATGCAAAAGGCTTCAGCCTATGTGAGAGAATTATATGCTATTACCGAGGCAATTAAAAAATAGAGGCAATATCTTCTTGGCAAGAAATTCATTATTCGTACGGACCAGAAAAGTCTTTGCTCTTTGCTTGATCAAGTTATTCAAACGCCGGAACAACAATATTATCTTGCTAAATTGCTGAGATTTCAGTACTCCATAATATACAAACCGGGGCGAGATAATAGAGTGGCTGATGCATTGTCTAGATGCCCTACTATTTTATCTCTTCAAACTATATCTGTTAACCATTTTGACATATTGGAAGCCTTGAAACAGGAGAATGTGCAATCTGCATTTTTTCAACAAAAATATCATGATTTAGCTAATGATACAGCAAGCCATTCAGAATATACAATTAGAGAAGGACTCTTCTTATACAAAGGAAAGCTGTTACTGGATCCTTTGTCACCTTTAGTTCAACAGGTGTTAAATGAGAACCACTCTACACTTGTGGGTGGTCATGCTGGAATACAGAAGACCATAGCTAGAACATCTGCTAGTTTTACTTGGCCTGGTCTCAAGAAGGCTGTCATCGAATTTGTGAAGAAATGCACTATTTGCGAGCAAGTTAAATATTCAACCCAGGCCCCTGCTGGGTTAATTCAGCCCCTGCCCATTCCAGAACAGATTTGGGAGGATCTTTCGATGGACTTCATCATTGGTCTACCATTGTCACATGGCTACACTACCATTTTGGTTGTGGTAGATAGACTTTCAAAGTATGCTCATTTTGGAGCTCTACCAAAAAGTTTTACTGCTGCCAAAGTTGCAGACTTGTTTTCCCACATGATCTGTAAGTTACATGGCCCTCCTCGAGCTCTTGTTACCAATCGTGATCCAATTTTTATGAGCAGATTTTGGATTGAACTATTTGAAGCTAGTGGCACTAGCCTGAAGCGCTCCACTGCTTATCATCCACAATCTGATGGACAATCTGAGGTTGTTAATCGGACCCTAGAGCAATATTTGAGATGTTTTGTGGCAGATCATCTGAAACGCTGGTCCAACATACTTCACTGGGCAGAATTTTGTTACAACACTGCCTATCACACTTCAGCTGGGATGTCTCCCTTTAAGGCTATGGTCGTGAGCCACCTACTATTCTTGATTATGTTAGAGGTGATGATACAATGGCAGAATTTAATCAAGTATTGGCAGACAGACATGCTATTTTACAGCAGCTTAAGGAGAATTTAACAAGGTCACAAACCTACATGAAGCAACAAGCAAATAAACATCGTAGAGACCTGCAGTTCAAGGTTGGTGACTGGGTTTGGGTTCAATTGCAGCCTTATAGACAGTCTTCAGTGGCTGTTCGAGCTTCCCATAAGCTTTCCAGGAGATACTTTGGTCCATTTGAAATTTTGAAGCGTGTTGGTAAGGTTGCTTATAAACTCAACCTGCCAGCTTATGCCAAAATACATCATACTTTTCATATATCATTGCTTAAACTTTATCAGGGAGATACTACCACTCCACCCTTTCCATTACCTGCTTTGTTTACAAAAGGGCTTCCGATTATGGAACCTAAGAATATTGTGGCCACCCGTACTGAACTCCATAATGGAGAACCTGTAACTTTTGTACAAGTTGTATGGAATAACACACCTTCAGATGTCAGCACATGGGAGAATTGGGAAGAATTTCAGCAGCAGTATCCTTCCTTTAACCTTGAGGACAAGGTTGTTTACAATGGGGAGGGTATTGATACGGGCCTTGGTGTGGAGCAGTCCAATAATGAGCCCAACAGTGGGCTGAACTCAGAAAGAAGTAATGTAGCATTGGATCAACAAACACAGCAACCCAATGTTATTCCTACAGATGAAACAATGTCAGCAAAGTTGAAGGAATTAGAAGGAGAGGAGAACATAGAAAGGCCCAAACGAATCAGAAGATGTCCTAGAAGGTTCGATGATGAAAGCTACTGAAGATGAATCATGAAGAAGAATAATGAGTAGGGTCTGTTGTACTGTTTGTGAGTTGTATAAAGTGAGGGATATTAGAAGAACATTTTTTTGACTTGTATTACATTCAGGAAATTCTAATAAAGATTCTTTTCTCATCTCTGTCTCTTCTCTTCTTCTCTTTCCCCTTCTCTGTTCCTGTGATAGGTTTTCATCCTATCAATAACCTAGCCATCCAATGGAAGAATTTTTTAATCTTAATGTGTACTATGCGTGGCTAACCTGGTACGTTATAGTATTTATTATTAGGGGAAAAAATATCTAATGTTACTTTACAAAAGTTTATCTAATGTTCATCGAAACGACGTCGTTTTGGGGTTGAAAAATTAAAAAATTAGAATGATAAAAACTATTATAACCCTGAAATAAATTAAAATTACAAAAACACTATGATTTCCGTCCTAAAACGACGTCGTTTCGATGAACATTAAATAAAGTAATCTAAAGTAACTTTAGAAAAAATAAACCCTTATTATTAACTAATAATATAAAATGTTTCTACATATGAAACATATAGTAACTTAAATGTGTGTTCTTTTAAAAAATATAAACAAAGTTTAAGAAATAGATACAAAAAGAATGAAATTCATATTTTTAATTTATTTTATCTTTATGATCCACACTATTAATATAAGAACTCACACCTCTTAATATTTATCTTTCTCTTAAAAAAATTTTAATTTGTATCTTTTGAAGGAAAACTTTACTTATATTAATTAGGAAAATAATTATTTCATGTTGCATGAGATAATTATCTCATGCAACAGACATAAAGTAGTGACATAATATTTTTTTTTTTGTTTTTTTTTGCAAATAGTGTTCCCCACTATCTTTTCTCTGTTGCATGAGATAATTATCTCATACAATATAATATTAATAAATCGATATTAATTATCACTCGAAAGTTCAAATCAACATCATGTTCCATCCTATTATCATTTAGCACTTTTCTAAGAGAATTTTTCATGATTAAATATTTATAATATTATAAAAAGGTGCCGTCCACCTTGATAAGACCGGAATCTTTCTGCCGTGTTTTTGTTTTATCCAATACTGGCATTGGGCCTATTCTCGTTGTTTCCTTTTTTTGGGAGCTACTTTACTAATCTCAATTTATAATAAAATGGTCTATATATATGTACTACACATTACACACTAACCGTTAAAGTATATTCATGCAAAGTCAAGATATGTGTAGAACCTAAATTTATAGCTGCCAAAAGAATATCAAAATTCTGTGGTTCGTCTTGTTTCTTTTGTATATGACACGATTCTCTAGCTGCTCCACACGGTGAAAGTGTTAAGACTTGGGAGACAATACAATTTTATTGAAACTCTGGTGTACGGTGTACCTGCCACTGTTGGCGTGATTAAATGTGGTTGTTTAAATTTTAAAGTCGATAGTTTAATTTTTAGAGAAGTATTTTTAGATTTTTTTTTTATTACACTGGGATTGAAATTATGAAAATAATTATATCTTTTAAAAAATTAATTTTTTGTTGTTGAAAGCAGGTAAATAAAGAATCTCTTAGGGAATGAGATTTCTCTGCAAATCAGTACTTAAGTTACAGCACAAGACCAATAATTTATAATAACTAAAAATAAAAAATAATTTAGTATAATTTATCAATCCTTTTGTTTTACATTCAATTAGATCCATGCATTTACGTTTGAGAAAGGATATTCTATCAATCTTTTTCATGCATATTCTACATATTCATCTTCAATATCATTAAATCACAATCACATTTTATTAAAGATACTGCAAGTTAAAAAATATTTACATATTTATATAGTAAAAATGGAAAATAAGTTAGCGTTTGCTTTTAATTCATTACTATAACTTTCTTTGTAATGCATTATTATAACTTTTTTTTTCACTGGTTCTTTGACCTCATACTAGTGCATAAATATGGTTTTAAGTAATTGGTCAAAGAATCCTAGGGGTGTTTGGTATGAGTATTTGGTATGGAATGATGGGAAAGTGGGGTGGAGAATATTTATTTACCATGTTTGGTATGAGTATTGTGAACAAAATGCCAAGAAATTTTTTTACCCAGTATTTATTTTTTGAAGTACACAAAGGCAAATTTATGTCCCACTTAATCTTTGGTATTTTTTTTCCTTGATCTTGAATTCTCAAAAGGTACATTTGATTCACTTTTCCCCAAAAAAAAGAAACATTTGATGATGGCATATTCAAAAAAATTAAGGGTATTGTAACATCCTGCATAATTGAAAAATTACATAACTTGAAATTAGGGGTGTGAAGCAAGTCATGAATTCGAATCATGTATATGTTTAGAGTGGAACTAATTTAAGTAGGAAAATTATTTTTGGTTGCTATTATAGCAAGTATATGTGTATATATTAAAAGGTTCAAGACACTAGTTGAAGAGGGGTGGTATTGCATTTAATTACAATATAGGTAGGAACCCTAGTTACTAACTAGTGGGAACATGAAATAATAGTTAATATATATATATATATATATATATATATATATATATATCATGTGATAAGTGTAAGTGAACCCATAGGAAGTTAATTAATTATTCAAGTGGAATCTGTTTGGTTGGACCTTATTGGTCAAGTCGAAGCACATGCCAACGTACCCCATCTTTAATCCTCCATTTTATGCGTATGGTATAGGGAGAAAGTAAAACGAGTGATTGTTTTTGTATCTAAACTTGAATCAGCCTTTGTCCCGTACACCCAATGTGAGTGAGGTAAATTTGAGTGGTTCCCAACCATTAAATTAGGAGCTGACTTGGGCACCTTTACCCACTATGTGTCACGGCCCAAGTCAATTAGTGGAGAACTTGATTCAGCCCAAACTTTCTTACCCATGACCCATTAGTTACCTCACACAAAAATCTGCATGCATGTACCATCATTAGCCAAGAGACAACCTCCTATCCGCCTTATCCCTTTTCCTTATGCGTTGGAGTGCTGGAAACCAAAGCTAAATGCTTAGCACCTTCATCCTTCAACCAAACCCAGCTTCTAGCTTTCCATTCGAACCGTGAGCCCTCAAAGAAGAATACAAATTAAACATGAATATTGACTCCACTAAATCAGAAATGAACCCCAACACCTCTTCCCCTCCTTATTTCCTCCTCACCGCCGCGAGCATCAAGAGAAGATACAAAGGAAAACAAGGCTTGAATCTCCTTCCACATCGTCACTTCCACAAGTTGTGAGCTTCCTAAGAGATAACAAAAACAGCAAGCACACTCATTCCCTCCTTCACAGTTCGGCGGTGTACCATTAAGCAAGAGGTGAAGTATCTTTTCTACTTCCTTGCCTCTCCTTCATCCCTTTGATTTGGTGAGGATTTCCCTTGCATGTTCATGATCCGGTCTGATTTAGTGCTTCCTTTTTCCTTGCATGCAAATGGTGACTCGAGCTTCATCTTTACTCCTCCTTTCCTTGGACACACGGCCAAACCGAGTGGGAGAGGCATAAAACCGTTATTTTGCAGAATGGGAAGATGAGGGAAATTGTACAGCATTCGACTGCTATCTTCCCTAGTCGGTTTGGGTACCTATTAGTAGAAGTAAGTCAAATATCAAACCCTTCCTTGTTCCTCTTATTTCTTCGGCCACACATGTATGTTAGCTAGGAGAACATTTTATTGTGTCCATTTCCATTTCCTTAATGATGTCGTTCTGTACAGTCCTAGGATTTGATGCATGTGAGTATAAACTGAAATTTTGTGAATTTGGTAATAGCCCCTAATGTTGTCAAACTGCTCCTTTGATTGGAAAAACTTTATTAGGCTTTGCATGTGTTAATATGTTTATGGGCAGCATGTGTAAAGGTCACAATTAGCGCACTCTCATGTTTGATTAGGAGGATATTTTATTTTTGGTAAATTCCATTGCCTTGATTCTGCCCTTTGAACCGCCCTAGGAGTTGATGCTTGTAAACAAAGCTGAATATTTGTGAACTAGGATATGGCCACTTAAATTGTTGAACTGCCCTTTTGTTAGAAAGATAAGTATATAACCCTGCAGGTATGGAAGTCGTAGGGGACAGCATACTAAGAATTTAAGTGATCATGCCATGTGATGTATGTAGTGTTATGTTAAAGAAAAATTGGAATTCCTTAGGTGATAGTCTTAAAGCCGAATATGTATGTATATGGAGAATTGGGATTTTGTCCTTACTAACAGTTGGCAGGATCAAATCTAAAACAGAAAAATAATTAGTATAAGGATCTTGAAATCAGTTTTGAAACCGAGCCTTGGGTGTGTTTGAAATCTTTGTAGGCAGCATGTAAATGACCTGTTAGCTCACGCCTAAGCCTAATTGGTAGTGTTTTGTTAATGGAAAATGAATGCATTAAAGATGGGCCTAAAAACCGTATATGTTGCATATGGGAACTTTTGGCTTGTCCATGACTAACTGTATGAAATTAAAGTTAAAACAGAAAATTAAATAACCTGGGATGCATGATAAATTGAGTGAAATCATAGGAACTGAAAGCATGGAGAATTAGTTTAAAAGTCAGAAAGTGAACTTGGTACTAGGGGCATAAATTCTGAATGGAACCTTGTGTTTTGTAAGTAAATAAAATAAAAAAATTCTGTTTGGTACTTTTGATTAGGTTCATAAACCTCAAGGATGTTGGACGGACTTGGGGCTGTTTTGATTAGAAAGCTAAAGTATCAGGTAAGTGTTTGGTGGTGAGACCTATTGTGACTATTAGCTAGTGTATGGAATTGTGAATTGTTGCTCACATGTGCCTTGGATTCATATTCTGCTATATGTTATTTGTATTCTTCCTTTGGACTTGTCATGATGGAAATTCTGTTTTGGGAAGTATTTGTTATACGGCAGCTTGGTATTAAAAATACATGAAATATATATGCTATTATGATTATGATCTAGTCATGCATCTGCACATTATACAACTGCATTTCTCATGTGTGTGTGAAGCCAAACATGTCATAGCATACGGCATTATGCATTCATTCTGGAAACCGAAGTATATAATGAAAATAAGCATACGTTTGAGAACGCATCATATAGGCATCCCTCCGGTACCAGGGTATGGGACACTTGGCTTCAGTCCGCATAGGTCGCAGTTGGAATCCTCTTGAGGAGCCACTATGGAATCTCCACTGTGCTTGTTAGTAGTACGTGCACTGCAGTGCTATGAACATACATTCCTTTGGCGTTATATACGCACTTGGATTATATGTTGGAATATGTTCTTGAACTATTTGATGATGTGACAATTTTGGAAATTCGGTATTTAAATTAACATTGTTGCATTGTTGGATTTTCTGCCACACTATTGGGATTTTTCTCACCCCTTCGGGGGCTCAATTTTTATAAATTGCAGGAGGACTTAGAAGCATTTGAAGAGGTGTTTGATGACATGATCACATGAATAATTCTGTTTAAGTTATGTTGTTGGCAACCTTGCTGTTTGCTCGCAGTTTCTGCTAATTGTATTCTGAGTATTTGACCTTGATGTAGTTTCTTAAAGAATGGCATGCTATGATGTATATTCTGTTTTGAAAAGAAGTGTAGCATGATGTTTATATTGCTGGTATTTAGTTGCGAAATAATTGCTGTTGTACTTGAATTTGGATTTTTGAACTGTTTTAGCGAGCACCTTGCGAGTTGTCGTTCTGGGGCTACAGACCTCCGAATGAGGTATAATTTATATGTATGTCAAGCCCCATTTGTGTACTTTCAGATTATATAAAGTTTATGTTCAAAGCTTGTAAGCCCGAATTATTATGATTTTTACAAGTCAGGAGGTTTTTGGAAAAATACACTGAATTGTCGAGTACTTTGCGAGCTCTATTTATGGGGCTACAGATCTTCGATTGACATATAATTTACATGACCGTGAAGCCCCAGATGTCTAGTTTCTTCGTAGCAAAGAAATTTTTTTTAAGCTTTTGATTTCGAATTTACATGATTTTTGCAAGACAGGCTGTTTCAGGAAAAAAAAATCAGAGTTGCGCAGCGAAAGCCTTTTAAAATGTACTTGCCGTTTTTATTTTACGAAGTCAGTTCTCCATGGAAGCTTTTCTAATTGGTAACATCATAAAGTTTTTAGAAAACAAGAATTTTACACGTTAACGTTACGTCTCTAATCAGTTTTAGCAGACATTTTCCTTGGATGCATACAGGGGAGGGTGTCACAGGTATTTTGATAATTTCATTCACATTCCTATCAATTTACCATCAACCAAACATAGTGACACGAGCTGTCGAACTCGCGCAAATTAAAAATTAATTCTTTAGGGTTCAGAAAATTTGTAGTAGAGTGGAAACCCTAAGTCATCTCTCTCAAGGAAATTGCTTGGGTAAAAATCGTTTATGATGACAGAAAATAAAAGGGGGGTTTGTTTTGATTTCAGTTTAATAATTTAAAAAGGCAGAAGATAAAATTGGATGTAAAATTCGTAATTGAAAATTAACCAACCTAAGGTTTGGGTTCCATGGACGTCTTTCCTCGGATAAGAAGATATCAGAATCGTGATTGATTTGTCAATCGAATCAGAATCCTTATTTCCAATTGACAACCCTCTCGAAGCGATCGCTTAGCATTTGATCAAAGACGATGCTTCTACTCATACAATCGCAGAGTATCAGCCCGCTTGATTTAAGGTCATAGGGTCAATCAACCTAATCATCAAATCTGATGATTAATCTCTTTCCATAATCGCAATCGTGAACCTCAGATTGAATATCCACGATCGCACGATATCAATCTGAGTTGGAAAGGGAAACAAAACTGATTTGAAATAAACGCAGATCCTCAAGACTAATCCATGGAATCCATTACCCTTAGGTTGATTAAAAGGTTCTTAGCTTCGCATGGCTAAGGTAAACATGATTAAAATAAAAAGAAGAGGAAGAAAAAGATGAAGAACAGAATTGAATAAAAACTCAGAGAGAACTTTTCTGTTGTAGAAACTGACTGCTGAAGGATTTCCTAGAGTCTCCCTTAAATAGCCGTCACGCAGGACGGCTAGGGTTTCACCGCTTCAGCCCAAACATAAAATAAAAGCTGAATAAAATAAAATAAAATAAAATAATAAAACATGGCCTTGGGCCCTAAACACATTGGGTCCTAATGAAAATTACAAGTTCAAACGTCAAATTAAAATTCCACCAAAACACGTCATCTTGAGATCAAGTTTCGACTATCTTCCCGTCCGAATTGGGCTTCAGTAGCTGAAATAGCGATTGTAGCCATATCTGTTAGCTGCAAAAAGCAAAATGAACGGAGTCAATCGGACATCTGTAGAGTGAGATATGGTCAAAATACGGAAGTAGTGTAAATCTGGAAAATTATGACGAAAATCAATTAAACCCAACTAAAATCTAGAATTGTGAATTGACCCAAAAGACCTTTATTTAATTCAAATAAATCATAAAAATACCAACCAAGAGTAATAAATAAGTGTAACAAAATATGAGTTATCACATAGCATCAGTAAAATTAACCCAACTTTCCCTACAAAATTTTGACCAATCAAACACTTTTTTGTAACTTACCTAGATAAAAAAATTTCTATCAAATCTCTAATAATTTTTTTTTCTCGGTTAAAAAAAATATCTCTTATACCAAACACTCCCTAAAGCTTTAGGAAGCGCGCAGCTTGACAATAGCGGGCATAAATATTAAAACTTAAGTTATAGGCATTTTGTATTTGATTACCAAAGCAATAACCGTGAAAGCATATAAAAAGTTAGAAAGTGGCCTTCCCCATCCCATGTAAAAAAATAACTTTCCTATTAGTGGTTCGAACTAGGGTTGTTCAAAATATCTAAAAGAACCAAACCAATCCATAGTCAAACTGCTCCGTAATTTAAAAACTGTTTATTTTTAAAAATCGATTTCATATGAAATTGCATTTTATTTTATAAACTGGTTATTGACCAAACCATAAAAATAATTGGTTATCCATGGTTATCCATAACCAAACTTCTTTACAATTAAAGAACAAATAAGTATTATCTTTTATCATGCCTATTATATTAGTCAATTGACTCAAACTTTCAAACAATAAACTAGTAGAAAAAGTTAAGCAGATCAGGTAGAAAACATTTATTTAATAAAAAATTACACATAAATTGAAAGATCGCATCCTAAGAAAGAACTTCTTATGTAACGTAACAACTTTTTTCCCAAAAAAAAAATAAAATAACCACATACAGACCTCCGAGTAAACTCACAACTTGACAAGGAGAAGGCTTTGAAATGACAAAGATGAAGTTAAAAAATCATAAACGAAAAGAGAAACGAAATTAATCCATTGGCTTAACGTCTCTGAGATGTTTAAGATGATGAATCAGTGCTGTTGAAAAGGACAACTCACAACGGATTTATTTATTTGTTCTTTACTTGTAGAGCAGTTTAGTTATGGATAACCAATTATTTTTATAGTTTGGTAAATAATCAGTTTATAAAAATAAAATACAGATCAGAGAATTGAAAGAATTCTTGGAGACTCGTGCTGGAGATCAGGATTCCACCGTAGTTGAAGACTGAAGACCATTGATCCTTCATCTTCTTTTTCTTTTCTTTTTCTTTCATGAACAAGTTTTCTTATCTTAATTTGTTTAAGTCAGACATGAATATGTATGGCTAGTTTCATTTTGTAGTTAGGATCACAGACCCGATGTGAATCCTTTATATTTCCTATACTATTTTTATAATTTAATTAATTAGTTTGTTTTATTGTACCTGTGTTAATTTTTTCATATCCTGATTAGAATTGGCCACTCTAATTATAAGGCTTTGAGGGTTAGGACTCACAATAGACATATTGGGGTTTTAGTCTGGACAAGGGTAGAATAACAATTTGTGTATGATCTAGACATAGGCTTACATAGATTGCAGACTTATAATTCATTTGCCTAATACTTAATTCAAGAGGAATTACTAGGACACTAGGATTCTAATTGGGTTAAAGGGTTGAAATCACTAAGACATTAGGGTTCAACTAATTTATAGGGAAATAATGAATTGTCTGAGCAAACCAATTATTTAATTATAAAATAAAATTTAAGAATATAAGGGAGGATCGGAGGTGAAGTGCATCATGGTTACAGTCCTTTTACAAATTTTTCATCAATATTTTCTTAACGTTCTTGATACTCTTGCATGCGTTCAAATTTAATTGTTCTTAATTTTTTGCGTTTAAATTTAATTATTTTTAAATTCTGTTTTAAAATTTCAAAATCAATTACTTTCACAAAACAAACAAATTTTCTTTTCCAACTTAAGGGGAATAGTTAAATTAATACATGGTGCATTAATCCTCGAGGGAACGATCTTTACTCATCACTTTTATTACTTGAAACGAACAGTATGCTTGTCGAATTCGCAACAAGTTTTATATATATATATATATATATATATATATATATGTGGTAAAACTTTGATATGTATGTACATAAATACACCCCGTTACGTATGGGTATGTTCTCGTTACGTTTGTGTAAATACCCTATTTTGTCCTATCCTTTTTATATAATATCTTTATTAAAAAAGAATATAAAAAAAAATACAAGTGTGTGCAGAGGCTACAATCGAGGCATTGAGGTTTGCTCCCATCAGTATCAATCATGTGTTCCTAACTTATGCGAGGAAAGACTTTCCATCGGAACAAGGCACCGCCACTGCAAGATACATAGCCCACTTGGTTGAAGAAGGGCAGAGAACAAAAATGGAAATTTGAGGCACAGAAGATATGCCTAGGAAAGGAAATTGGAGGAGACCTTTACTTGTTGGACTCTGATCGACCCAGGCATTCCTTTTGTCCAAGGGAACATGAAGGAGCATAGGATTCTTATCTCTTCTTTAAAAAGACCAGAAAGAAGCAAAAAAAAAACAATATAGAGCAGACTTCTTGCTTTATTTTTCTGATATAAAGAACAGCATACCTCTTGCATAAAAAAAAAAGAGAACGCTGAAACAAAAGCAAAAGAAGGAGGTTCTAGCTTCTGTAAAAAAAAGGAAAAAGAAAAAGCTTAAAAGATAAAAAAAAAAGTATCAGAAACCGGAAGCCACAGCGTTGCCACTGCCATCACCGCAGGTCACCGACTATTACAAGCTCAACCGCGCATTTAGCATCATCACGCTGTCGGACCACCGCGAGCTATCGCACCTTCAGCTCTCCATAGCACCGCATCGTTGAAAGTTGAACCTTGAACGTGTAATGCATTAGACCATTATCTCCACCGTGAAAACACTACCCATCACTCTAACACCCCTCTGCTTCACAATCGTAAGTCTCCTTGCATTTAGACACCAGAAACCCATTTCATTTTTATTATGTTTTAACTTTATTTGGTTATTATCATATTGCTTTGTCCTTTTATGTTAAGTATTGTATAGCTAGTTATTAGTGAGGTCGGAGCCAAGAATATAGTAAACCATTATATTATTATACTTAACTTTATTTTATTTTTCTTCTTTAAAATATAAAAAAGGAATCATCAGCGGCGAGGTTATTTTCTTTTTCTTCTTCTTGTCTTGTTTCATTAATTAGATTAGATGTAGAAGATATTTTTGGCATGATGTTGAATAAATAAAGAATAAAAAAATCAAAAAAAGAAGAAATGTCATGATAATCTACAACTTCAGCTTTCTTTCTTTTTGAGTAGATTAGGTAGCCTTTCCTTGATATTAAAATAAATGAAAAATAAATAAAAAACAATCAAAAAATTAAAAAAATAATAAAGAAAG